TGAGAAATGAAGAGAAATTGTTCCCAATAAGTGACTACGATGAGGATTCAATGAGAATTTTCCTTGCAGATATTTTGTTTGTATATCACAGGACACCTCGAGGAGATGTTCGATGCAGAACATCGTAAAGAGATGCTTCGACATGTCTATTGTCATCAGGTACACTTCAATTTCTTGGCTCGGATTTTAAACAAGAGCTTCGTACTAGAGTGATGAGTTCTCTTTTGTCTCATTAATTTGCAGAACGAAGATGGTGGATGGGGATTACACATCGAGAGCAAGAGCATTATGTTCTGCACTGTGTTGAATTACGTATGTCTGCGTATACTCGGAGAAGGTCCCAATGGAGGACGAGAAAACGCCTGTAAACGGGCCAGACAATGGATTCTTGACCGTGGTGGTGTCACTTATATTCCGTCCTGGGGGAAGATTTGGCTATCGGTAAATCTTTCCAGATCATATGCTAGTCTGACTGAGAGATATTAAAAAATGACTTGCTACTATCGGTAATTTGATTTGTTTTTGGTACGTAGATACTCGGAATCTATGATTGGGCTGGAACCAATCCAATGCCTCCGGAGATCTGGTTGCTACCTTCTTTTCTTCCAATACACTTAGGTTTGTTCAATGTTTCCATATTTTTTCTTTACTAAATGGCTCTGCTTTTTTTTTTTGTCAAACTAACTGGCTCTGCTTGAAATGGTTATTTCCAATTTTGTTTTTGTTTTTGATGTTTGACTCTTTCCACAAAATTGAATACAGCGAAAACTTTGTGTTATACCCGGATGGTTTACATGCCCATGTCTTATCTATATGGSAAGAGRTTTGTTGGTACAATAACACCTCTTATTYTRCAACTGCGTGAAGAACTCCATKTACAACCTTACSAAGAAATCAAMTGGAATAAAACAAGGCGTCTATATGCAAAGGTAAGATTTGCCATTTTTTAATCCTTAAATTTATGTGTCAGGATACCGTAAGATATTCCATTGTTCTTATCGCAGGAAGACATGTACTTTCCCCATCCTTTGATTCAAGATTTGTTATGGGACACTCTTTATGTCTTTGTGGAGCCATTCCTTACCCGTTGGCCGTTAAACAAGCTTGTGAGGGAAAAAGCTCTTCGGCTGGCAATGAAGCACATACATTATGAAGACGAGAATAGCCATTATATCACCATCGGATGTGTTGAGAAGGTAAAGCATTAAAAAATATGCACATACTCTCTTAAGAACGTATGTTTCAATTCCAAGTTAAAACTTCTTTCTGTAGATGTTGTGTATGCTTGCTTGTTGGATTGAAAATCCGAACGGGGACTACTTCAAAAAGCATCTTGCTAGAGTTCCGGATTACATGTGGGTCGCCGAAGATGGCATGAAAGTTCAGGTACGTAAGAATTAAAAATCCGATCGCTAGGTATACTTTGAAAATGGAAACTTCTTAAGCATTTTCTATTTATCCAGAGCTTTGGAAGTCAACTATGGGATACCGGGTTTGCGGTTCAAGCTATATTTGCTAGTAATCTCTCTGATGAAACCGACAATGTACTCAAGAGAGGACATGATTTCATCAAGAAATCTCAGGTTTGATATCCTTGTTATTGTAATAGTGTACCTTGAATTGCTCTAAAGAACCATTGAATGTGTTTTCATAAATCAAAGAACATTGCAGGTTAGAGAGAACCCTTCTGGTGACTTTAAAAGCATGTACCGCCACATTTCCAAAGGAGCATGGACTTTATCTGATCGAGATCATGGATGGCAAGTCTCAGATTGTACGGCTGAAGCATTAAAGGTAATTAAACCAGTCACTGATGCAAAACAAGTTAGCTGGAATTTTCACAAGTGTTATGCATCAACGCACTTCTTTGGTTTTATAGTGTTGCTTGCTGCTCTCCATGATGCCAGCTGAGGTTGTTGGCGAGAAAATAGATCCTGAAAATGTATACGATTCTGTTAATCTCTTGCTATCTCTTCAGGTAAGGATGAATCTAAAAGACTAATATCCTATAAATATGGGCTCTTAATAATTTTTACAGTTATGACTTCATTTAATGTAGAGTGAAAATGGAGGTGTGACTGCCTGGGAGCCTGTCCGTGCTTATGAATGGATTGAAGTAAGTGTTGAAACACATAAAGATGTTCACATTTTTTTCGCGAGTATGAAAAGAATCTCTGATGTTTAACCTTTGTAAATGGTGTTTCAGTCTATCAATCCCACAGAATTTTTGGCTAATCTTATGGCTGAGCGTGAGTACGTGGAATGCACCTCATCTGTTATGCAAGCTTTAGTTCTGTTCAAGCAACTCTATCCCGATCACAGAACAAAAGAAATCAGTAGATCCATCGAGAAAGCGGTTCAATTCTTAGAGAGAGAGCAAACACCAGACGGTTCATGGTATGTCACTTTAACATAATTTATACACGTTAAAGGGATATTATTCATAAGAGAAGCTTATCAAATTCGTGTTTATTTCGAGTCATGATAGGTATGGAAACTGGGGTGTTTGTTTTATCTACGCCACATGGTTTGCTCTTAACGGCCTAGCAGCCGCTGGTAAAACATATGAAAATAGCCTGGCTATGCGTAAAGGTGTTGAATTTCTGCTCACGACACAGAAAGATGACGGAGGTTGGGGTGAAAGCTATCTATCATGCCCTGAACAGGTAACAGGAAGGCCCAGTAGATGAATTTCACCTAAAATGTCGAAAAAATGTTGATCTTTTTAACATTTGTGTGTATGTAGATATACATACCATCGGAAGGGAAAACAACCAACCTGGTGCAAACTGCTTGGGCAATGATGGGTCTGATTCACGCTGGACAGGTTCAAAACATTTCATTTTGCATTTCCGTATAAGTACAACAAAAGTTTCTCG